GATAAAGTTTTTTAAATTTTCATATTAGTATGAAAGGGCCAAATTTGTTTTTCTCGATTATTAAAATGTTCTTTTCGACAAAAATATTCGTTTTAATTTTACTGGTAGAACGCTTCCCTCAAAAAAATATTTACAAATTCGAGTTTATCTACATGTTGCAGAATATAGTTTATAAGAGACGGATATTAAAGCGATCCTTTAGGTAACCTGTGATAATTTACCTGGATTATCTTGAGTTTTCGACACGTTACATCAGCTGTGGTCACGAGTAGACTGATGTAACAATGCCACACCTCCGCTCCCAAGACAAAAATATTTTGTTCTATCCCTCATTGTCATACTTAAAAAAATAGTGTCCCTATATTAAAGGTTTTGATTATCTAATTTACAAATATACATATTCGATAAGCACATACTACTTCTTTGAGATGGAGAAAGACATGAGCTACTTTTTATGTTAGTCAATTAGTATATTCTTATCACGCGGACGATGTCGCGGATAAAAACTAGTGTTTGATATATTCATTGCATTTAATAGTACTGGCAAACAGAATATCATAAGGAACATATTATTAATAAGAAAATATGTACGTGGGTAGGGGTGTTACAGGGGCCATACGCGGGCATGACAAAACGTCACGCCCGCGTACGGATACGCGAAGCAGGCCGACTGTGTCAAATGAAAATTAATAACACCCCGATACTGGAGCAGCCGCTGTGATTGTCTCAGCGCGACCTAATTTTTATTTGTATTGTATGAGATACATATAGACGTGGCTCGTAACCCAGCCACCTCTATTGATCGGAAATACTCGCAAAAAAAGGCTAACATGGCATTTTTTTAATTGTAATTATTAAAAATTAACTTTTTTTTTATCAGACGTCAAGTAAATAATTGTAAGACAATGAAATAAGCCTGTTAAAAAGATTTTATGTTTCATTTAAAGTTCTTTATTATGTATTTTTACTATTATGTAATTATTTGAACAGTACTCGTACTTTGCACTATGATATGGCAGTCGTAATAAAATAAAATGCTCCTGCCTCTTGGTATATCACAAAAGGGACATTCATAGAGCGGCTATAAGCCTTTATCCGCGTCAAATGAAAATTAATAACTCGAGGCTAGTAGCCTGCGACGAACTTTGCCGACCGCTGACCTCGTTTATAACCATCTCTACAAACTAGATACTATATTTTTTAAATTATTTATACAATTTTTATGATTTGAATTATATTCCAAAACCAATAACGTATACTAATATTATAAGCACGAAAGATTTGATTGTTAATAATGAATAAACTCAAAAATAACTCAATCGTTTTTAAAAAAAAATCCACCAATAAAAAGTCACATTATCAGCGAATAACACAGGCTACATATTATTTTTTCAAATTACATTTATCCTTGGGAAGCCAATCCAGATAAAAAATTTATAACAATTATTATTTACATTTTCTTTAACTAAAATGTGACGTATTAACTATTATGAAATTAATATACGTAACGGCAAACTATAATCTCCTCGATAATGCCTTCATTTTCGAGTTCTAGTCTATTGAAAGTTGTTTTTTTTTTCACAATATCAATTTGGTTAAAGCCATTAATATCATGATCTACGTATTGTTGCTATAATATTTATGCCGGATCCCAACTATTACGCTAGTTTCAGTTTACTCTCGCTCCGCTCTCGGTATGGTCAGTAGAAACAGTACAAGATTGATCAAAACAGGAATGGGTTATATGTATATTCACATATTATCACACATATTATTTCTTACGTAATAATATTTTATCAGATCGGAACGAAAGCGGATCGAGAGAGAACTGAGGCCGACGTTGTAATGGGGATACGACCTGATAGTTGACGATCTCATAGAGAAGAGCCTCGTGAGAGGCTTCAAATTCAAATTGGATCGTCAAACAAACTGACGTTCCAAATTATGGAAAATAAATGCAGTTCTATAGATGCAAGTGACAAGTCCTATAGAAAACAGTACCACGAAGATCCTAAACTGCACTGTCATACCCAAAGTACCCCTCATTCTTTGCCATATACAGTGAAATCAATTCTATAACTACTGTGAAACGGCAATATAGTTGTACAAGAATAGTTGATAGGTAATAGAAGAATGAGTAGAATACTTAAAGTAAGCTAAAAGGGACCAACTAAATAACGCTTTACCTAATAACTGATATCAGATATAAGTTAACAACACTTATAAAGTTGAAGTATTAGGTGGAAATTCTTTTCTTAAATAGATGAGGTGTAAAAAATGTTAATATATGCAATAATTAATGTATGGATTAGATTACGTATTCCTATTATTCAGTACTTCATTCTCGTTGTTATTGCTCTATAACTATATTCAATAAAATTGCATTAAATTCATTAGGCGCGCTATAGCTAATTTTGATAAAATCAATCTAATGATTAGATGAAATACTGACAAAATTACAAAAAAAAAATTAATATTAATTTTTCAAAGCAGTTTTTATCACTTAACTACTGATTTTAAAGATACTAAACGATGATTTCATAAAAATATATTTACAAATTTACATTTTCTTGTCTCAATCCTACAAGATTTGAACCCGCATCTTCCAACTGTTTGGTTTGATTGCATTCCCAGTTATACCACGGAAGAAATACTGCCAAGTGTTCACAACGTGTTTTTTTTTTTAATGTTCTATGGTGGCAAATAAGAAAACGGGTCATCTGATGGTAAACGAGGTTACCGTAACTTATGGAAGTTCGTAACAACAATGTAAGCTTATATATATATATATATATATATATATATATATATATATATATATATATATATATATATATATATATATATATATATATGGTAATTACAGTTCCGATATGCTATGGTCTTGTCGAGCCAGATATTTAATTCTTTATTAAAGAATTTAAATTATTTAGGGTCCCAACGCACAATCAAAATTGTCTTTGTAAATTAAACGTGAGACTAAAGTCTTAATTGGATTAAAAGAAAATATTTGCAATTCACCTCAGAATGGTTTCCTTTTGTGCAAATTCCTTACTTATAAGGTATGCCCCTAGAGGAATCTCAAGTATTACTACTGCACCTATCAGATAATCATTAAAGTGCAAGAATTTGGTGTTAGACTTTTGTTTAACTATAAGAACATGCATAGCACATTATAATAGATCCGTGACTATTAGGTTAATAATAACATAAAAACAAAATAAACAATTCAATAAAATCCTATCTATATAGCTAAATAATGGTTTTTATCAGAATAATAAATAAATATATACAAAATGCATTCGGACCGATTCATATTTCACATTGTACTATACAATTTTAAACTTTAATTTTAGTGTTATGGGTGTACTAATTTTACTTTTGTAACTTTTCAGCATGTATGACAGACAACAAATCTCACCTGTCTGTTAAAAATAAATGTATATTTTGTTAGTAAAGATAATTTATAATATTTTAATACAGTCTTCCATTTGTATATTGAAATTTTAGTAAATATTTAAATACTAACACTTTTTTGCTTGTCCATATTTGTACAGGAAATGAGCGTCCCCCTTTTCAAAATACGTTCATAATTTGCCATGAAAATCTAACTTTATTTCCCTACACCATACAATTTGGAAGTCATTAATGACCATTTAATGCTGAAACGAGAATTTATTTTGCATAATCTGGAAAGGATTCGGGGAACGTTGAAAATTTTAACGAGTGACTGTTAGGCAACATTTTATGAGCATTAGTTTATTCAGAGAAGAAAATTAATTCTCTCAAAGAGTTAGTCGAGGCACCGGACAGGATATTAAGCTTTTCATCAGGCTTTCCATTAGCGTGTTTAGCGTAACTATCAAAATATTACTACATTGAGTCGCTTTAATTTAGGGCTGTATTAATATTAGTTCCCAAATGTTGCCGTAGAGAGATGTTTAATATTCAGTCTATGAAATCTGTACCAACACATACAGTTATAAGATATTACATTAGAAAAGTGTTATTAACTTTATGTTATTGTTATGGTCATGTGGTCCCAGCATAGAATAGCCATCCCTTCCTTTCTAGTGGGTGTTTTAAGAGGCGCCTAAGGGAACTTAATGGTCGAGGAATGGGCAATGGCGTCTTTCTTAAAACAGCGGTGGTCAACCCGCTTGCCAAGCGTGGTAACTACTGGCAAATTCTCCTTAATAGTGGAGATCTATTCTGAACCATATTCAGAAGATAATAATATTATTATGTCAAACATAGACTAAATTCGAGTAAATATATTATAATATGCAGATTAAAAATATTATAAAGTCAAGTAACTCGTAGATATTTGGTAATTGAATATAATATATTTTGTAATATAAAATTGTATTCATAATATTCTTGCAAGTATTACTATTATTAACTTTATCACCGTTGTCTCTCTATAATAGATCTTTTTCTATTATTTGTGATAAGGACAATTAAACTAAAATCCTTTCATTTTGGTTTTGATGTAATCACACGTCTGTAGTCACCCTATGCCATTAATGACATCATTTTTTTTATATTCCTCATCTATCTTGTTTCTTTTAGGAAATATAACATGCGTTCATTCTCATGAAAATAAAGGAACTAATGTCAGTCAGTCGGCATTAAGCGAGACATAAATTTGATGCTTGAAACAATTAAAGAAAGTACACATTACAAAGTGTTGTTTGCGTAAATGCACACTCGTTAAAAATTATCCCCTTTATTCCCTTGACGAAATAAATAATAATTCCCTTTCCTCCCTTGATGATAAATAGCTACGCACATGATTTCGTTTACATGACTGGTAGATATTGATTGACCAAAACAATCAGTACATTTTGCTTTACTCAATATTTGATTAACTATATTTTAAATTATGTATATTATTACATAGAAGGCATTCTTTAATTGTTAAAATCAGTTCGAAATTAGTGTGTACAAAAAAAACTTCCTATTTTGGAGGTCAATTTTTAGATCAACAAGTTACTTACCTGCAACAATAGTTAGAAGTGCAAACGTCGACACCAACGGCAGCCCTCCAGTTTCCATGGAAACGGGTCTACTGCGCCTCGATGATTCCGCCGTCATCATGTCAAAAGACATCCGATATCAACACAGCCCTCACTAACATCTCACATTTCTTTATTTTTACATAATCTTGTGTATAAATCGTTACAGTATTATTGTCTTGTTTTCATTGTCATCATTGGCATGTTAGATTTTTTTTATTATTGATAAATTTCTCTGAATTTTTTTAACTCCCAGCCAATCTGAAACAAATCATGTATAGTGTGAATATAAATTGTACACAGGACGCATAAATCATAACGGGGTATTGTAACAAAAAATATTTAATGTATCAAAAATTGAAATTGGAAAAGGAACGTTAGTCATAAACATTTTAAAATACTATTTGATATAGCTACTGTAATTTTTATATATAGGTAATTTTAAATTAATTATACACAATTCGCTATATTATTTTTATAACCGTAAATACTATATTCAACTCTTTTTGATAGATTTTTAGTACGAGTATTATATTTATATTTAATTAGACTTTAATTTAATAAGTGTATGTAATGCGAACTATGGATTACGTTGAATAAAGAAAAAAAATTGAAGATTCTAGAGCACTTCGTAACTACACACCTACAATATGATTTTGTGATATGACAACATACAAAATATTTCGTTGAATCATGAAACTCCTTCCTTCAGAATGTCCTCCTCGTGTTCAATTGAATGCTCGAGGGTGTCAATTTACAGAATTGAATAATCTTTATTTATATCTCTGAACTTGTTTACAATCACTTTTGAAATCTTCGTATTTTTTTCTTTATTTTAAGCCACCAGATTTAGAATATTGGTAGTTATCTACCCGGCCAGAAGAGCTTACAAAATCATCCGTATAGCTAGGACCAGGTTTCTCAAATAATTTTTAAAGCGTTGTTTAAACTTTTCTACAATAAAAAAAAATATTACTTATAAGTGTAGATTTCAATAGGAAAGAAAATTGAGTTTGGTAGCCAAAATAGTATCAATTTTATGTGATTATAACGAATAAGTGAATCATCATGTATTCAAACGTGTATTATGGTATCAAACAGCATGCCATGCCGCCATCAATCTGTACATTTGATACAATGAACATCAGCTCAATCAACCTAGAATAGGGATAAGCAGCAGCGTCTCTCTTAAAACATCTCTAAAAGTAGTTGCTAACCCGCCTACCAAAAGTACTAACAACTGGCAAAACTCTCCTTATGAGGAAGCTTATGTTCAGCTGTTGATGGTTAACAGCTGAAATAATAATAATAATATATTTTCGTAACCCTAGTTTAAACAATTTCTAAAAAAAAGCAATAGTAGCGCTCTTGACGTAAGCAGTTTTGATATGTTACCACAATATTCTCTAGAGAGCGTATGCCATTCTCACTGCGACAGAAGGAAAAGTCTTATAAAATACGACAGGTGCATAGCTGCACTGGTACATAATACCTATGCAGCTGCATACGTACATCGTATAGGTACACGCGGTGGTTTTTTATTACACCAGTTTCCGCGGCACAGCGTGCGCAAACTGAGATAAAACAGAAATGATTGCCGTTCTGTCGCGATATTGTTTCAAGTGTTTTGTTCCATTCTGTTCGCTCTTCGACACTTTTTATTCATCTATGCCCGAACATCGAACTGTAGCAAAAACTATGCGCTGACTAAACGGTTCTCTCATCTAAATGGTTCCCTCGTGCGCATTCAAAGATATGATTTGCATACAATTCATTTTCAAATATGAATATGTTCAATACTATATTTCTAGATGGATTACCTAGTAACAAACATTGTGTTCGTTGTAACATTACACTCAACTTTTCCTTATTTTGTTGAACATATTTGAAATTTCATTTATGGTAAGTTTGTTCCTATCATTATATCTTTGATTATTTTCGTTGGTTTATTAAGGTTTACTTATAAAGTGTGAAGGTTGTTTACTAATAATGTTGTCTTTCATCAGTTAAAGATTTTTCAGATTTTTGTATGCATTCAACAGTTTAAGAAGATATTTTTATGTTCGACATTATGAGAGAAACATATTATAGATATACGTATGATTTCATATGGATGTCCATATTTAATCCGTGTTAATGAACCATAAATAATACCCAAACCACGGTTATGTGCTCAAACCCAAGGCACAGCAAGTTACCCGTAGTATTTTACTTACTTTTTTTTTATCACAAATTCTATCAATCTTTCTAATTTTAAAAGACTTTGACAGGTTTCAAGGAACGATAAGACATTGAATGAAAATAAGTAATTCCTGTGGGCAGGAATATAATAGTTCACTTGGGAGATCGTTGTGCTCTATCAATTGAAACATGGTCCCGTGCCTGCGACGACGTCCTTGCCGTACGAACGAGCGTCGCGACAATAAACAATACAAACAACCCTGGCCTGCGTTTGACACCAGCCCGTTCGAAGTGGATTAGAGCGCTCTACAGGGAGTTCGGCAGCATTTAGGGAGCGTAATAGCCTTCCGCCGTGACCTGTTTTAGTTGCGACAAATAGAGATTTACGGGATTGCCGCCCGGGGATTTTCAAAGGAACTCTGTTCTCTGTAATAAAATTGAATGGTGTTTACTTTGCGGTTACTTTGTTCTCGAATGCCGATATACTTTTAACAATCAATAGCAGTGCCTAAATTCCGTTAACATAACATCATCTTACTGTCATTTGATTGAACAGAGATTGTTCAAAAGTTACCAACAACACGTACAGGAACATAATGACACCGAAGCTTTTATCTAATTAGATCTCAAATAATAATTAACAATGTAGATAATAATAAACCCTTGTAAATGACAATGCAAAAGTTAATTGCGTTCCGTGTTCGATGATCTCGAATCAAACATAATATAGTTGGGCCGATTCGCCTTTAACCCCTACTATTGAAATTGAAACGCAAAACCCCATTTACAGCATTCCGTTGCTTAATAATTTTACATCCGCTCACAAAGACGCCGCGTTGTGTTATCTCGCGAGTGGCACTCCACCGATATGAGGCCCCAAGCAGCCTAGCTCTCACTCCTATTGTCATATTTACATTGTCTATGTTCATTCCCAAATTCCGATTAACGCAAAGCTAAGACCGAGTGTCGTATATTATTAACTATGAACAGTTTCTCAGTGATGTTTACATGTCAGCGTCATGTAGGCAAATAAATATTAAGTTTCCATTCTGACTTGTCTAAGCTTTCGTATTTCTGTTTGAGTTTATTTGGAGTTGCGATTTTGTTTGGAATCCAGTTTATTAAGTTTGTCTCGTTTGCAGCAACTAGCTTTACGTCGAGCAATAAAAGAGTGCAGAATAAAATAACTCTGTAGACGCTTCGATAAAAAATAACATAAGAGGTTATTTAATTTCTTTTGGAGCGTTTGTATATAAAGATATCAATAAACTAACTTCACTAACCTTAAAAAATATAAAACTATTTACATGTACCTACCAGATGTATCGTATTTTAGAATTTAATGGTCGAGGAATGGGTAGCAGCATGTCTCTTAAAACATCATCAAAGCCTAACTGCGAGTATCAACTGGCCCGCCAAGCGTGACAACTAACTCAAACAAACTCCCTAATAAGGGGAGGCCTATGTTCAGCAGTGGATAGTTAATAGGTGATATGATGACGATAATGATATTTTATTTGTATGATGAAATAATGTAGGAATACAATTACAACTGCTTTTTATTCTAAGGGTATGGTAAAAAGAAATAAAGTTAACATAGCACAATATACTAGTGCAAGAAAAAGAATAAAGAAAATTCGAAATACAATATTAATTGCAGCTGCTATGAAATAGTTGGATAATATTTTTCTTTTACGGAAAGAAACCAGTGTCCATCAGTGGACGGTTAAGAGGTTGTCATGTCTATATGTAACTTTAATATATTTTTCTTATATCTATTCAGATATTAATTTAAACATTATTTTATAACTACTTTTAAACTACATAGTCTAATTGAGAAAATTGTCTACCTAATAAACAAGAAAATCAAGACAATTTCATTAAAAATATTTCCGTTAAAAAAGCTTAATGAACACCTGTGTGAGCGAACTGAGCTTTAATAACAACGCCTTATTATGAACATTGTACGGGCTGCAACAAAACCCGGCAGCGACAAAAACCTTTCTTGACGTTTAATTCCACAGACCGTGTTCAACCTTTGCACTCCACTGTTTCTTAATTCGCAATTAAAAAGTTAAATTGTCCGGTTAATTGCAGCCATTGTGGTGGACGACGTCTACCCATTATTCACAATTGCTCTCTGAAATTTGATGAAAAATTCGCAGTGAACCGGTTGCTAAATCACAATAAGTAATTAGCTTATCTGTCGGCGTCACGCGGGTTCCGTGGGTCTAAGGGAGGTGACGAGGGGCCAGGAATACGGGGGTGAGGAGTTCACGTCTTACGTTAAGCTCTCAGTGTTAATCTCGACAGTGCTTAATAAACGAAGTGAATAACTTGGATTATATAAATTACTGAAGCCGAATTAGTGGTTAACTCTACCACCGATATTTAACTTTAGATAGTTTGATGTATTCCTGATTTAGGATTGTCATTGTATTGATTTTAATATATTTATATATAAATTTATATATTTATAAATAAAATACATTTATATATAAAAACACAGACAAAATAAACTAATTTAAAGTCTTTATTCGTAGTTATAGGTGTAACAGTTCTTAACGTTGCAGAATAAAAATGCAAGAGATGATACGAATATTTTATTTCTACGTAAAACGTAAATATATATTCAAAAAATATAGAAATGCAGGAATCAGAAAATTTATATTCATTACAGATATAGTGACTCTGATTTTGTCATTCAGATCAGTTTGTAACGCAGTTTCTATTAAACGAAACATAAAATTCTAATTCTCACACATTATTATGATTATTTAAGCAATACACCTCATGTTAATGAATAGAACGTCTACAACATAAGGGCTAATACCCCCATCTAGTTGACAGAGGATAAAAGGATGATGGAGGAAATACATGCCGATAAAATTACCACATGCTCTTTAAAATTATTATATATTCTCATTTTTTTTTTTATTATTATTTAAGTATTCTGAATTTTCGAATTATTGCTATATATAAATTAAAAACCATTTAGTTGAATTGGACACTGACCTAAATATTAGACCACAAATCTAATTTAAACAACGTGCAACGAGTTTTAATAATTTAGCAATCAA